ATTGATTGAATGGCATTGTCCAATTCTTCAACCCTATCCTGGGTATTTTGCACCTTTGTATCTGGGACACAGCACCTATTTGAGTTTCTAGTTAGGGTACAGATATTCTTTAGTTTGTCATGATGTCTGACAGCCTAGCCTCTAACTCCTCAGACATGGAGGATCTCTCTGTGTTTATCTTATCATAAATATGCTGCATCTCACTTTGGGTAACAGACAGCTCTGTCTTTAATGTTTTGGACATAGAGCCAAGCTTATCATCCAACTTCTGTTCCACTTGCTGCACAGTTGAGGCCTGACCTAATCTGTTTTCCAAAACCTCATTGCATAAAGCTGTTATTTCCTGTAAGTAGGTGGTAAGGTTATCCTTGTCCCTGTTCCTGAGGCCTCTGACTAGTAATGTTATTTTTACCAGCAAGCTAACTGCCATTATTGCATAGAGGCCGGTAATTGGTAGATAAGTGTCCTCCTCGAACACTGAATTCACGTAATGAGCAAAGATATTACCAATTGTGAAAAATGATTTTACCTGATTTTACCTGATTTCTACTCCAGACACAATAACTATTTTTGGCCAGCAGGTGGCGCAGGCATTCAGCTAGTCCTCGAGGCTTTTGGCAACTGTGGGTCAGGCAAGATGGTGGCAGCTTCGGTGGAGCTGAGGTCACACAGGCGGCTGCACTTTAGCTGGAAGTGTACGGCCTTGTGGCTGCAACCATTAAAAAGCCGCAGCTTTGCAGCCTCTGCAGCCAGGGGAAGCCACAGCTAGCAGAAGCCGTGGGCCCTGCTGAAAGCTGAGGCCTACTCTGGAGGCCTCCTCGGCTCAAGGGCAGGAGGCCCCCCGGTGCGGGTAGGCCACAGTCAGGGCTGGTCCCATGCACATAGCTAGAAACCGTGGGGAGTCTGTAGAACTCTCCCAGCTGGGCGGACTGTTCTGAGAGGCTCGGCAGCTGCGCGGCGGCGGGTCAGCCGGGAGCACCTGTGGAGAGAGGGAGCTCTTTCCCCGCCTAGAGTGCCGTCCAGGTAGGACCCACAGGCTCTCCCAGACGGGCTTAGGTTTACAAGATCCCACTTCTGACAACCACATATTGTGTGAATTACCAATACGGAGCCAGGTAGAAATACAAGGGAATTTAACAGGGAAAAGCGTTACTTACAGAGCAGGGCAGCAGTCAGTACAGCAAGCCAAAGATGAAATCGAAAGAAGGAGCCCACCACATGAGTGTCTCTCACTCTTAACCCTCCCTATGTCACCCCTCACAGGCATGGTCAGGCACACCTGAGCCAGCCCCTAAGCAGGCGTGGCTACAACATCCCCTACATTGGATAACCATGCAGAGTGATTTGGAGGCCCAGTCACAGGTCATCAAGGGTTTTTCTCATCATCGCTTCCCATTACCCCAGCACATGTCTATGTAACTCTTCTCCTGTTTGTTGTGAGAATGAGCACGGGGAGGGTAACTTAGTTGGCAGGGTTCTAGTCTAACACAAGCAAAGCCTTGGGTTTGGGGCCCCAGCTCTGCACAGACCAAGCATGGTGACGAATGCTTGGAATCCCAGCACTTGGGTGGAGAAGGCAGGAGGATTGGGAATCCAAAGTTCTAGACTACAAAAGTTTGAGTCCAGCCTGAACCACACAGGAGACTATTACAAAAGAGAGGCTACTCTGGAGAACACCACACTTGTGCCCCGGGCCAGCTGTGGCTTTCTGGGCAAGTGGCTTACCCGAGGGATTTGCTGCCTGAGCAGAAGAGAAATAGAGGCTATATTAGAATACTTAAAATTTGTTTTAATAGGTGGTATTATAATTCAAAAAGAATAGAAAGGACTCCTATCGAGAGCATCCAGCCTGGAGAGATGGCTCAGAGGTTAAAAGCACTGGCTGCTCTTCCAGAGGACCCAGGTTCAATTCCCAGCACCAACTTGGTGGCTCACAACCATCTGTAACTCCAGTTCCAGGGGATCTGATGCCCTCTTCTGCCTCCATGCATACCAGGCACATACTTGGTGCATAGACTTAGATGCAGGCCACACACACACACACACACACACACACACACACACACACAGAGTTAACCTTTCCTCTACCAGTTTGCACAGCATGTGTCCGTAGCTACAAGTGACATGCGTTTTAGAATCTTTACAGGGTTTCTCTGTGTAGCAGAGTGGAATCTGGAAAATATTATCCAAAGTAATGGATTTTACTGTGAGTTTTTACACACACACATTTATACTTTGGTCATTTAGCCTTTCCCACCCTCCCCTGTTCTCTTTTTCACTCCAGATGGTTCCCAGTTCTGTTTCACATCACATATCGTTACCTTCTCTTTTTCTCCTTTTACCCTGTAATGTGTCTTCTTCCCACTCATGGTGCGTGTCCCATGACCCTGCACACATGTACTGTAGTTTGATAATGAGATATCCAACCAAATATTCTATAGCTAAAATTTTCATGTCAAAAACTTTAGAATTGAACTTGACAGTCTCTATATGTCATATTAAAATTTTAGACTGAAATTTGTCAGCTGTTTTAATGCCACCATAAATTTCCTCAAAATCTGACTCGGTTTTGGTTCTGTTTTAATCCTAGACAGCAGAAGGCTTCCTGTTCGTGGTTGGATGTGAAAGAGGGCAGATTCTCTTCGTATCTAAGTCCATCTCCAAAACCCTGCAGTATGATCAGGTATCAAACCACGGTGTTCTCCACTTGGTCCTGATTCTTTTTTTTATTTTTATTTTTTTATTTTTTATATATTTTAATTACAAACAAGATTGAATTACATGACGATTCCAGTTCCCTTCTCCCTCTCTTCCTCCTCTACCACCCCCCAACTAAAATCCTACCTGTCATGTGTCCTTTCTTCTAATCTACACCTGACTCAAAATTTCTGCTTCCTCATGACCTCTGCATCCTTCCTTTTCTTCCCTTCTCACTCTCGTAGCTTCCTCCCCCCTCTTCCCATGTTCTCAAATATGTATTGTTCTCACTGGTTTACCTGATTCTTTTTTTTAACAAATCCTAATTTGAAGCTGTGTCTGGCCCCTTCCTTCCCTTTGCCACTAAGTCAGAGCTTAGAGAGAGATAGAAGACAGTGGGGAGGGGTGAATTCTTACGACCATCATTGGTGTCTCCTTCAGACATTGAGAGGTGACATCATTTTCTGAGCCTTAGCTTTGTCCACCATCAGGATCGGTGCCTGCAGTCAGGGTGAAATGACGAGATAAGATGTCATACTGGAGTTTCTGAAAAGTGTTGGTCACCTTCCTGGTCCCTTCCAGTGGTCACGTCATTGCTCATTACTAAGTTATAGGCATTGAATAAAAGCAGTGATCCAACTGCTGACAACACAGTGGAGCCACGTTGGTCGTGTAACCAGCCTGCTACTCATGTCCTCCAAGTTAGATTCCTCTTGAGTCAGGCAGCTACTCAGAAGCTGTCCCCAAGGCCGGCCTGCAGAGAACAGCTTTGATGGGAATGCCTTCCCCTGGGTTCTGCCTCTTTCAATTTTAGGTTAGCAGCTAAAAAGGTCAATGACAGAAGGGGCCATCTGAGCTTCTATGTGGGAGACCAAAGAACCCCAAGCTGGAGACAGCTGGGCACACAAATGGCATAAAAACAGATGGTCCATCTTCTAACTGGAGCTAAGTGGAAAATAGCATGCACACACACACACACACACACACACACACACACACACACACATACACATGTGTATAACACATATACATGCATGCACATGTGTACACTCAAATGCATATACATACATGTGCACACATGCATGCACACACATGCACACAAATGTACATATACATAGGTAACCAACAATTCAAGGTTGCCTTAAATTACAGATTAGTGAGCAGGGCTGATGTCCACTGGGTGCTGATAGCATTGAAGACTCCCTGTCTTCTCAGGAGGTTGTTGGGTTTAGTTCTTGGCTTTTCAGAATCAGAAACCCGACACTGCTGAGTGACTTCTGGACGTGGACTTATTATGTTAACCCAGCATACAATAGACGGAACAAACGGCGGATCGCTGGGGTCTTAGTCTGAGCTACCTAATTGGCTGGTCCACCTGTTTTGTCTCCTGTAGAACATGTCCTGGAGACCGTTGTGAGAGGGTGGGCTTGTCATCAAAGTGGGGTGACTGTGGCACCTTCAGGATGACAAGAAGACAGGAATTTCAGGCTGTGAATCAAGAGTCTAGAGTTCAAGAAGCAGTTGGCTAAGCAGCCACAGCCACAGGTAACAGGCAGGTGCCTGAGAGCCCGGTCAGTGCTCAGGAGGATAAGGCAGGAATGATTAAATGGCAAGGGGACTGAAGAATTACAGAGCAAACTGAGTTTTAAAAGTTGATTATAATGAAAATGACAAAAAATGATTTTTATGAATGATTATTCACAGAGACTGGCAGGGAAGGAGGGAGGGAGGGAAGGGGGAGGGGGGAGGGGAAACAAACCATGGATTGAGTTAGAAAGGCCAATGATTTTACGTAAGGCATGCCTGCATGTTGGGAGCTGAGGAGTGGGAAGTCGGAAGACTGTTGGGCTTGCATCTTCACATTATAGATGAGCAGATGTTCTGGGCTTCGTTTTCTGCTATGATGTAATCCCTTGCCTTATATTACAAGTGATGAAGTTTATGGCTGGGAGATGCTCAGTCAGTACAGTGCTTGCTGTGTAAGGTAGGGACCGGAGTTTGGACCGCCACTGCCCATGTAGCTGGGTGTGGCAATGTGCTCCTCTAATCCCAGCACTGAAGAGGCAGAAGCAGGACCATCCCTGGTTCTCTCTGGCCAGCTCTTCCAGCTATCAGTCAGCTCCAGGTTCACACGTGCATAATTACACATCGGAACGGATGGACACACTCGCACACAGACACATACATATTGGAAAATGAAGATGAAATTTAAATCCTAATGCCTTAGAAGCAACCCTGAACTGAGAGATATTAAGCAAGGTCTGCACAGTAACAAGATTTAAAGGAAAATCAGAAACCGGTGTTTTATGTGGTTTATATGTAGCTATCCTGATATGGTTTCAAGTACATTTTTAAATTTTTATATGTGTGAGTGTTTGCCTGCTTGTGTGTCTGTGCACCACATGTATGCATTTGACCGCAGAAGCCAGAGGAGGGTGTCAGACCCTCTGGGAGTGGAATACAGACATTGTGAGCCGCCGAGTGGGTCCCGAGTCTTCCGGAGAACGGCATCTGCTTCTTAACGACCAAATCGTTCTCCAGCCTCAGAGTGCACTTTTGTTTGTTTTTATAAATGTCACCCAGAAGCTCAAGTTAATGTCCCATGGTGTGGTGCACGTATATTTAAGCATAAGGAACAGCCTCCTCTCCAGGTGGAGATGTAGCTCAACGGTAGAGCACTCTCCTGGCACTCACAAGGCCCTGGGTTTGATCCCCAGCACTGGGGGGAAATCAGTCTCTTACAAGGAACAGGGGTTTATCGTACGTGTGTGCAGAAATGTCTAAAAGGACATAACTGATGTTCAGTGTGTGTCTGCTTTCTTTGCAGGGCACCTTGGTGGGACAGAATTTGTTTGACTTTTTACACCCAAAAGATGTTGCCAAAGTAAAGGAACAGCTTTCTTGTGATGTTTCACTAAGAGAGAAACCTGTGGACACCAAAAGTGAGTTCTCCCTCCGAGGTTCTTACCTCTGTGCTGGGTACTTTTCTGTAGATGAGATAAATGACTGTGGCCAAAAACAACCTAAAAAGAAAGGGTTTTGTTTTGTTTTTAAGTTTACTCTTCCAGAGGGATAGAGTCAATCACGGTGGGAAAGTCAAAGCATGAAGGCAGGGACAGGAAATGGGCTGGTTACAGTTTATCCACACACAGGAAATAGAGAGAGAGCGAGAGAGAGAGAGAGAGGAGAGAGAGAGAGAGAGAGAGAGAGAGAGAGAGAGAGAGAGAGAGAATTCTTCTACAGACATATACAATAAGTGTATTCTCACGAAGATGATGTGTGGGAATTTATGATTGCTTATAGTGTTCAATCCAAATGAAATGTTTATAAGCCAGTATTATTTGTGGTTAAAAATTTGCTAGAGTTGGGCTGGAGAGATGGCTCAGAGATTAAGAACACTGACTGTTCTTCCAGAGGTCCTAAATTCAATTCCCAGCAACCACATGGTGGCTCACAACCACCTTGAATGAGATCTGGTGCCCTCTGCTGGCATGTAGCCAGAAGACTGTTCATATAATAAATAAATAAAATCTTAAAAAAAAAAAGAGAGAGAAGAAATTTGCTGGAGTTTTATTCTCTTTTGTATATGGCCCAAGTTTTCCTGGTATGGGAGATCTTGCACATTTGGGCTTGGGACGAATATATGTATTCATTATCCATATATACTTAACTTGTGAAAATGCTTAGTGCCAAACAATTATTTATGATATAGAAATAGTGATTTAGGGGCCAGAGAGATATGAATTCAGTTATGAGCACTTACGGCTCTTGCAGTGGACCCAGGTTCTGTTCCCAGCACTCACAGTACCGCTCACTCTTAACTGTAACTCCAGCCCCAGGGGGTCTGATGTCCTCTCTTGACCTCCATGGGCATGCACAGGTACACACATGGTACACATACATCCAGTCAGGTAAACACACATACATAAAGTAAAAATATTTTTTTAAAGCATTAAAGAAAGAAAATGACCTAGTCAGTTTTTAATTTTGTGTTTTTATTTGTTTGTTTGAGACAGAGATTCACTATGTAGCTTTTGCTGGTCTGGAACGTCCTATGTAGACCAGGCTGGCCCTTGAACACACAGAGATCCTCCTGCCTCTATCTCCCAGGTACTGGAATTAAAAGCATGTGTCAATACATTTGGGCCTAGCCAGATTTTTTGTGCACTCTACAATCCCAGCATTTAGAGCAGTGAATTATGAAATCAAGGCTAGCCTGGGCTAAAAAGTAAGAACCTTCCTCAAAAACAAAACGAACAAACAAACAAACAAAAAGCCAACTATGGAATAGTGGTGGGCTAAGCTAGAGATCGTTGTTGCACTTGAGTTTTTCTTCATTTTTAAATTTCATTTCATTTCAATTAAACTGTATTGTCCACTCCCTCAAGAAAATATTAAGATAGATTGCAAGTGTTTTGAATTGTTGAGTATGGTGGTGCATGCCTACAATTCCAACACCCTAATGGAGGAGTAAGTTGGAGAATACTGAAGTTCAAGGCCAGCCCAGCTTACAGTGCTGGACCCTGTCTCAAAAACAAAACACTGCCAAGCAAACAAACTGCATATATATGATGGTGGGTGGGGACTTTAGCAGGGGCTGACGAGGTAACTCCACAGTTAGAGTGCTTGCTGCTCTTCCGGAGGACCTGAGTTTGTCCCCAGCACCCAATCAGGCCACTCAAATCCATCTGCGACTCTGGCTCCAGGAGGTCTGGTGCCCCCTCTTCTGGACTTCTCAGGCACCTGCACCCCCCCTCTCTCTGTCTCTCTGTCTGTCTGTCTGTCTGTCTGTCTGTCTGTCTCTCTCTCTCTCTCTCTCTCTCTCTCTCACACACACACACACACACACAGAGAGAGAGAGACACATACACAAAGATTATTCTCTATTTTTATTTTCTTGTATTTTGTTTTGAGAAAGGGTTCTCCATATAGCACTGACTATCTTGGAACTCACTCTGTAGACCAGGCTGGCCTTGAACTCATGGAGAGCCATCTGCCTCTGTCTCCAGAGTGCTGGGATTAAAGGCATGCACTGTGATTATTCTTTTTTTAAGAGGAGGGAAGAAGAGAGAATGGGAGGAGGTGGATTTTAAGCATGTCTGTGACTCGCGTTTCTCATTCCCGCTGCTATGGAAGCCTCTCTGCAGGTTTACGGTCACGGCCACCGTGGGCGACCAAGCGTGCACTCTGGCTCCAGGCGATCTTTCTTCTTCAGAATGAAGAGCTGTAAAATCCCAGTCAAAGAAGAGCTTCGATGCTCACCCTGCTCAAAGAAGAAAGGTGGGACTCTTGGGAGAGCCGGTGACCAGAGCCTGGTGTGAATCACAAGGTCCTAGTTAGTTTCTCTGGAAGAACATGTAAATTCCACAGTCAAGGCAAGAAATAGGATACAAAGCATCTGAGTGAGATTGTTTTAAACCAAGATTGTTCATGTTGGCTCACAAGCAGGTGCTCATTCTGCTGCCTGGGGTTTTCACGGTCCCACTGAACTTGTAGCAGAGAGAGCCTAAGTTTGATTCAGGGCCAGATCTGGTGCACTCAAACCTCAGCACTCAGAAAATAGAGGCAGGTGGATCTCTGTGAGTTCAAGGCTAGCCAGGGCTACATAGCGAGACTCTATCTCAAAAATAAAATAGAATAAAAACTCAGACAACAACAGAGTTCAATCTCTTTTTTTTAAAGTTTGTTTTTGTTTCCCACTTTGTAACCCTGTCTGTCCAGGAACTCACTCTGTAGACCAGGCTAGCCTCAAACTCAGAGATCTGTGAAATAGATGACCCAGAGACAGATATTGGGGTTCAGCTTTCAAGCTGAAGATCAGAAAAGCAAAGCAGCCGGCCACTAGCTCTCACCTCCAGCTCAGGCTGAAAGGGCTGGTCCTGTCTCCATGAGCTCTCACCAAGCCTCTTCTCAGTGTGTCTGGAGAACAAATGCCTCCACTGACTCCCGATACTGTCTTATATACTTCTCACGAGTCCTGGGATGAAAGGTGTGAGCTATAATTCTCTTTTAGACCGATGCACTCTTGTGTAGATCTAGGTGACCTTGAACACAGAGAGATCCGTCTACCTCTTAATCCTGAGTCCTAGGATGAAAGGTGTGTACCACCACCACCTCCTAGCTTCTGGCTGCTGGGATTAAAGGTGTGTGCCTGGCTTCTATGACTTGTGGCTGGCTTTGCTTTCTGAATCTTCAGGCAAGCTTTAATAAATCATAAATAACAAATCACCACAGAGATCCACCTGCCTTTACCTCCTGAGCACTGGGATTAAAGACGGCATGCTACTGTGCCCAGCCATATAGTAATTTTTAATGTGTGTGTGTGTGTGTGTGTGTGTGTGTGTGTGTGTGTGTGTGTGTGTGTGTGTGTGTGTCCACAGAGGCCAGAAGAGGCCACTGGATTCCCTAGAGCTGTCTGTTGTAGAGTTGGGAACTGAACTTGGGTCCTCTGAAAAAGCAGCAAGCACTCTTGACTATTGAGCCATCTCTCCAGCCCGTTTGTTTCTTTTTGAGACAGAGTCCTGTTGTGTAGTCCAGGCTGGTCTAGAGCTTCTGGTGCGTCATCCTCCTGCCTCAGCCTCCCTAGTACTGAGATTTCAGGTGTAGAGCACCACAGTGGCTAAAAAGTGGTCTTTATATAGGACTTCATGATTCTGTTTATTTACAGATTTTGGCTGCAATCCTTTTTATAACCATGCATGAAGAAAATCGCAGGTGCTGACAATAGTAAGCACATGGTCCTGATACTGCACTGAGCATTTAATTCTCATGAAAATATTCTTATATCTGTCTTAGAATCAAGGAGGCGGCCCTGGAGAGGTTAATTAACACCCAGTCACCTCCCTCTTGCCCATGGCTCTATGTGGTACAGAGCCTAGGGCAGGGGCTATCCCTAGATGTAGTTTAAGAAAAGCAGCCTGCAAGAGAAAAACACCAGCCGACAGGGTTCCAACAGAGGGTTTTTTTGGGGGGGGATCATAAAAAGGGAAAGGGGAGGGGGAGACCAGCCCCTGGGGCAGAAGCAGCAGGAGAGAGGGGAGGGAGAGAGAGAGAGAGAGACAGAGACAGAGACAGAGACAGAGACAGAGATACAGGAGGATGGGAGGTGGGCAGGGCCCTTTAAAAAGGAACATAGTGAATGTGCACAGGTGGTGCTCTTAGTGGCTGCAGCTGAGGGTGTGTCCTGTCAGAACCCCAAGGACAGGCCAGTACAGATGCTTGAATACTAACAGTAGTAATTGTTGTTTTAACTACAGGTAGACCGGTTATTTCTTGTTTTCATGTAAGGGAGTGAATACATACACAGTGCTGGTCTTTTTGATCTCACATGACGTTGTATCCTCCAATCTCTTTCGTTTTACCACAAATAGTGGGATTCCGTTTTCCTCTGTGTAAGAACGGTGCTCCATTGTTTATAACCCGTCTGAACCTGTCTGACTGTTGACGGGTTCTTAGACTGATTCCATCTTAGTGGGTATGACCGTGTGCTTTAAATATGGAATTTGGTGTGTGGGGAGAGTCTCTCTGTACCTTGACTCTGTTTCTCTGGAGTGGCCAGATGTCATGATACTGTAGCTTTTTGAAGAATTTCCATACTGTTTTCCACCATTGCTATTAACAATGACCCCCCCCACACACACACTGTCTTTGTGGCTCCCTCTTTCTCCACAGCCTCCCCAGCATTTATTCGTCCTTTTGATTGTGGCCATTCTAACTGGGGTAAGGTGGAATCTCATTCTCTTTTGAGTTCACATTTTTCTGATGGCTAAGGCTACTGATCATTGTGTTACATATTCCTTGGCCATTTGTATTTCTTCCTTTCGGCGGGGTCTTAGTTAGCGTTACTATTGCTATGATGAAACACCATAACCAAAAAGCAACTTGGGGAGGAAAGGGCTCCTTTGGCTCACACTTCCTCATTATAGTCCATCGACAGAAACTCAATCAGGGCAGGAACCTGGAGGCAGGAGCTGATTCAGAGGCCGTGGAGGGTGCTGCTTACTGGCTTGCTTCTCATGGCTTGCTCAGTCTGCTGTCTTATAGAACCCAGGGCCACCAGTTTAGGGAGGGCACCACCCATAAGGATTTTTGTTTGTTTGTTTGTTTTTTAATGCCTTACAGGCTTGCCTACAGCCCAGTTTTATGGAGGCATTTTTAAAACTGAGGTTCCCACCTCTTAGATGAATTTAGTTTGTGTCAAGTTGACACAAAACTATCCAGCACAAATGGAGACTCTTTGGATTGATTTCTATTTTGTTAAGTTTGTATGCTCTTTAGATATGGTGGATATCAACTTTTGTCAGATGAGTCACCAACAATAGTCTCACCAACAATAGTCTCTGGGTTGTGTTTTCTTTTGTTGACCATTCCCTGTGCTGTGAACTAGATTTTGAGCCTGGGGATCCCACCTAGGTAAAGATTGCCTGTCCCAGCATCTGGTCTGCAATGTTTCCTATTTGTAACTTCAGAAGTCTGAGTCCCACACTGAAGTCTTCATACATGTTTCAGTTGACATCTGTGAAGGGTGAGAGACAGGGCTTGAGTTTCAGTTCTGCATACGCTGTCCAGTTTCCCCAGCACTGTTTGTGGATGAAGCTGTCCTTTCTATTTTCCACACCAGTTTTGAGAATCAGCTGGCCTCAGACATGTGGGTTTCTTTCTGGGTTCCTCATGCTGTTCCATTGGTCTGTGTATATATTCTTGTGCCAATACCATGCTGTTTTTGTTACCACGACTCAGTGCTATATTTTGAAGCTAGACACTCCAGCTTTGCTCTTGGGACTCCTTTGTGCTTCCTTGGGAATTTTAGGTGTTTTTTTTGTTTTTTTGTTTTTTTTTTCTCTGGTGAGGATGTCATTGGTGCTCTGATGGGAACTACATTGGATCCGTAGACTGGAATTTTAGGTGGTTTTTTTTATTTTCATCTGTGGTGAGGATGTCATTGGTGCTCTGATGGGAACTACATTGAATCTGAAGACTGCATTGAGTACAGCCAAGAGAACAAAGCTGGAGCTATTCTGCCGTGGGGTTTGTTTTGTCCTTGCTTTTTAAGAGGCATCAAGTTAGGTTGTGTATTTGAATCCTGTCTTCTTGACCTTATTATTTTTATACGAGCACTCATTGCTATAAAATTCCTTCTTAGTGATTTTTGCTCTGTGCCAAAGGTTTTAGCCCATTGTATATATATGTGTGTGTGTGTGTGTGTGTGTGTTTTTAATTTTTAAAGAATTCTTAAGTTAGCATAGAAGATACCTGGTGTCACTGTGGGCATCTTTATATGTGTATATGTTATTCATGGGTTGTCTCATTGGTTCCTCTCTTCCTTGTGCCCCTCCCCATCCTAGGTTCCTTCCTCCCTCCTGTCAGTCCTCTTCTGCTTCCTCATCACAGTCACAGGTATTTCCATTTCTGTCTGTTTCAAGAGCATCTTAAATTCCCCATGCAGTGGGAGTACACTGTCCTGCCCCCATTCAGACACAGTTTTTAGTTCTCCTTACTGATTTATTGGCTCATCCCATCGTGACCAACAAAGATACAGGATATGATCTCATCCCTCAAGCATTTGTTAAGACTACTTTTGTGGCCCAACACAGTCTGCTTGAGAGACAATTCCCCCATGTGATGAAGAAAAGAGAAAACTGTGAACCGCACAGATGCTCAGAGGCCAAGCCAGTCTGTCTACACTTGGTCCTCAGCTCTGCCCTGCATGTGCTGTGACTGTAGCCCCTGCCTGTTCCCAAAGACAAGCAGACAATATCAGAGCACCTCACAGAACTATTAAGGAGGTTAAATGAGTTATACAATCCCAGCTGTAAGACCGCCCAACAGACTTGTGGCTCACCCTCTTCATGTCTGTCCTGCTGCTGACTGTAACTCTTAGGGCAACCTACAGCATTTTCTGTTAAAAGAAAAACTAACGTTTCTTTTTAAAGATTTATTGTTGGGGACCACAACATGATGTGATTCTTAAAGGCACTTGTGGCACAAGCCCAGTGGCCTGAGTTTAATCCCACAACTTCTCAAAGTTGTTCTCCGAGCTCCACATGCAGGCTCCTGCACATATACCCACACACACACCATACACACGATAATAGCAATAATGAAATCTATCGTGCTGTCAGTCTTCCTGAATAATGCCAATTTAAAACAATGCCTGTTCAGGTCTTCTGCAAGTCCAGTCACAACTGAATGTTTTAAATAACTTGCATTAGGTTTTTCTCTGCGTTTTAACATTGAAGGCACTTTGTCTAAAGCATCTACCATGTGTGCACCACCTGTCTTCTGAGCCCATGTGACCGTTCCTTGTTTCCATAAACTTTCCTCATATTTGAGCAAACAATTTTTCTTTTCTTGTTTTCCTTTTTGGTGGGTTGGTTTGACAAGCTGCTTCATGGGAATTAGTTGCTTAGAATTTTTTTCTGAAAAGTCAAGGTTTTGAGTCTTTTTAAAAATACTTTTTATTGTGTTTCTAAATGCTCATCAAGCATTTCTGTGGTCCTACTATGACTATATATGTCTATCAATCATCATCACAAACAACAGTAAGATTTTTTTTTCATAATAGACAGACATGGTGGTGCAGGTCGGTAACCACTTGGGAGGCTGAGGCAATAATATGGGGGTTAGGAGATAGTCTCTTATACATAGGGAGCTGGGGGCTAGCCTGGGCTACAGGATGAATTTGTCTCAAAAAAAAAATTGGAGGAGGGAAGAAGGAAAGAGGAAGTGATGGTAACATTGGCATTCATGTTGACCTAAGTGTATTTCTGTGGCTTCTCATTAGACCACAGGAAATTCTACACCGTCCATTGCACTGGCTACTTAAGAAGCTGGCCTCTGAATGTTGTTGGCATGGAGAAAGAGAGGGACAGTGTTAAAGACAGTGGTCCTCTTACCTGCCTTGTAGCCATGGGACGGTTACATCCATATGCTGTCCCTCAGAAGAGCGGCAAGATCAAAGTGAGGCCAACTGAGTTTGTGACCCGCTTTGCCACGAATGGAAAATTCGTCTACGTTGATCAAAGGTGAGCATCAGGCTGTGGTGATGAGGAGCCCCGGGGCAGTTGAGGTTGTTTCAGGGGTGACTCGGTAGCTCTACAGGATTTGCCTTCTAATTGGGGCTTAAGACTAGGAAGGATAGTTTAAGTGGCATAAGAATATGGTTGTTGGTCGTTTTGGTCAAGCCAGAGGGCAAACTTGGAAAAGCATTTCTTAGCAGTGGTGCTGAGGCTGGGCCTGCTCCATGGCCACTGTGTTGGTGGTACCCTTATAAGGGCATCAGCTGGACTTCATGGGGCCTCACCTGGGTGGCCTGTTTGGTGGCTCTGGTCTGTGGCTGGCGGGGACCAGGCAGTCCATAGGAGCCTAGTGGTCCACGTGACTAGCTCTTTCCCCGGGGCTGCTGCCTCAAAGTCACACCTGTGCTGGAGCTGCTGGATTCTGGGAGCCATCACCTTCAGTAAGTGCCATGCTAATTTTCTGTTTCAAAACCAGGGCAACAGCAATTTTAGGATACCTGCCTCAGGAACTTTTGGGAACCTCATGTTATGAATATTTTCATCAAGATGACCACAGCAATTTGACTGTCAAGCACAAAGCAGGTGGGTAATTCATCCAGAGCATAATTTAAAATGACAACTTCAGCCAGATGTGATGGATCACACTCAAAATCTCAGGACTTGGGAGGTGGCAGTAGAAGGATCAGGAGTTCCAGGCTAGCCTGAGCTATGTATCAAATCCCTATCTAAATAAATAAATAAGTGTCATTGTTATTGTAGTGTCAACTCTCAATTTCTCGTTCCTTATGAAACCCCAATCTGGAGTTGATTCACAAGGCACTGGTTTTGGGTTTGGTGTTTGCTTTTGTTCTGGGATTCAGTACCGGCCCCTGGCTGGCCTAGATCCAGCAGCTACCCTCTTCGCATAAAGCCTCCCAAGGGCCGGGATTCCAGGCAGGAACCACCACACCTGGCTTGAGGTCTTTTCATTCTAAAGGCTGCTCTGCTGATCGCATCTTTTCTTGCGAAGTTCTGCAGAGTAAGGAGAAAATACTTACAGACTCGTATAAATTCCGCGTGAAGGATGGGTCCTTCGTAACCCTGAAGAGTCAGTGGTTCAGCTTCACCAACCCTTGGACCAAAGAGCTGGAGTACATCGTGTCTATCAACACGCTGGTTTTGTGAGTAGTTCTCTGTAACGATAACTCTTTCCGCCAGCCGCCTGCGTTATGCCGCCACGTTAGGGCCCCCAAATAACACACAGAGACTTAATATTATTTACAATGCTGCTGGCCAATGACTAAGATTTCTTATTTTCTACCTCTGCTTAAGTATCAACCATAACCATTAATCTATATATTTTATAAAGACTTATCTTCTCAAGGACACCAGCGGCATGCATCCTCTTCCTGGGGATCACATGGTGACCCCTCTTTATTACGTTTCCCAGAATCCTCCTTCTTTCCTAGTCCTGCCTATCTTGCTTTCCTATTGGTCAACAGTGTTTTATTCATCAACCAATAAGACAAATACATATACAGAAGGACTTGCCCCATCAGTTCTTTGTCTTCTTAAGACCTTTGTCCTACTTTCTTTTTTCTTTCTTTTTCTTTTTTTTTTTTTTTTTTCGAGACAGGGTTTTTTTGTGTAGCCTTGGGGCCTATCCTGGCACTCGCTCTGTAGACCAGGCTGGCCTCGAACTCACAGAGATCCGCCTGCCTCTGCCTCACGAGTACTGGGATTAAAGGCGTGCGCCACCAACACCCAGCAGCTTTGTCCTACTTTCAAGGGAGTGCCTCTGCTTTCCTTCAGAAGCCACCAAAACTTCATGGTCCTCTGGCTGTGCGGCAGCTCAGTTTGGGGATGGGTGCCAGGAGCCTGCACGGATGCCAGAATGCTTTGATCTCCCATATCCATCCTCAGAGCCTGTCATCATTAGTTACAACTCCTGGGGCAAAGTAAAGTCATGTAAATGGCTGTTGTGCCCGATCATTTAGGAATAATGACAAGAAAAAAGTCTCTGTGTTTAGGAAAGATTTGGGTTTTCCTCCTCCAGTATTTTTGGTCCACAATTAGTGATCCCAAGTCAAACCCTGAGTCTGTGGTGGCCACTGGTGTCTGAGAATTTTCTTTGTTCTTCATTGATGTTAAGTTGTTCAAGTTAAGCTGACAGTTCGCCCTTTGTAATCTACCCCTTTCGTGCTTGATATAAAGTCTGGTGGTAAAGGTATGTAGGTGTGGTTTGCACACCTGTGATCCTGGCACCTGGGAAGTAGAGGCAGGAGGATGAGAAACTCAAAGCTATCGTTGGCTACGAAGGGAGTCTGAGGCCAGCCTAGACTACATGAGACCTTGTCTCAAAACAACAGCAGCAACAGTTCCCCAAAAACCACCACCCCAAAAACCAGAAGACGAAGAACCACTGACTCAATGGTAGAGTATTTGCCTAACGTGTGTAGGGAGTGATCCTGATTACAAGCACTGCTGACCACGCCTACTTGGGCTCGGTCACAGGTACTTAACAGGGGTTTAAGAGCCAGGGGGGACAAGCACGTGGGTCTCTCGCTAGGCTGAGCTGACTGGGAAGCATTTCTGGGTCCATCCTGCTCAGGTGGAAACCTGGTCACTGGTTCCCTTGAGTGAGTATTTTCCCCTAATAAACTACTGGTTATTACCTATCCCTGACTGCACTATGTAATCATCAATACATGTGCATGACCCTGGGTTCAGTTTCCCCAGCACAGGTGGGGAGAGGGCCAGGCACACACATTTAATGTCAGTACTAAGGAAGAAGAGGCAGGCAGGTCTCTGAGTTCCAGGTCAACCTGGTCTACATAGCATGGGCAGGCCAGCCAGGACCCTGTCTTGAAACAAAAACAAAACAAAAAAGAAAAGAAAGATGTATCTTCTATGCCTGTGGCCAGTACTGCCACCAAGTAGCAGAAATCTGGCCGTGTCTTCAGGTGAAGTGCCTACCTTTAGCCAGCTCAGCTTAGCCTAAGCTTCGTTGCTTTGCTAAGTTTATAAGCGGGTGTAAGGGTCACTGTTGTGGGATATTTTCACCCTCTGACACTGCCAAGACTGCCAGTGAAGTTGACTTTGAATCAGAGGGTGGAGCTAGCTACTAGCTGACCAAAATTAGCCATGACCTATGACATAGAGAGAGATACAGGAAGTAGTAGGGAGGGCCTGATGGGGGCAGGAGAACGAGAAGGCCGCTGGTCACTTCTCCACTGTTTCTCTGATCAATCAGGCTCTTACCCTGATATCTGACTCTGAGTTTTTGTTGATAAAGATAATTACATAAACACTTCATGTCACACCAGTTCCGTTTGCTTCTCTATCACATGTAGTTTAAACATCACCAGGAGGTGAGTGTGCCCGTGTTCCCTGTTAGCCATCCCAGTACAGCTGTGAACCTTAGCACTGGATTGGGAGCCGAGCACCGTCACTGTGAAACCGACCAGTGGGGCATTTGGCTCAGATCCCAGTCTTAGCTGACAGTGTGAACAATAAAATACTGATGAGTGGAAACTGGCAGATCAAACACACGGAGCCAGTGCAGAGCATCATTGGTTCCCTCACCTCAGGGAATGTCACCTGTGCTGTTTCTGACTTGCAGGGGGCGCAGTGAGGCTGGTGCACCATCCTTACTTCCCTGCAGCAGCCAGTCCTCAGAAGGTAAGCCGGGGCCTCGGGTCGGGGTTGCAGCTCAGATGCATCGTCCAGCATGTGTTTTATGAAGATGTGGTTTTCCTTCTAAGAGAGGGGATTCCCAGGGGAGGTGAGAAGACAGCTGGACTGGACAGACATCGTGCCTTTGGTTACAGGAGAAGGAGGCCAAGGCAGGAGAGACGACCCAGTGTGTCTAGGCCCTTGTCACGTACAGAGAGTGACCTGAGTTCAACCCCCAAGACACACAAGGATGGCAGTGGACTGAGATCACAGTGCTGTCCTCTGAACTCCACACCACACACATGCATCATACGTGTACATGTCATATACACACGCATAAGCATATAAACACCATCATACATATACACGTCAAACACACATACATTATACACATGGACACAGACACATCACACATGTGTACACACACATCATGTACACATTATACATTTGTACATACATTTCATACACACATTATATATTTGTACACACACATCATACATACATATAAACATATACATATAAACATATACACACAAACATACATATAAATACAAACATATATCATGCATGTGCACACACATTATATGCACATACAATATACACATATATACAAGTACATACATACACACATTATATGTACATACATATGTCATACAATATACACATGTATACACAAATACATAAAAAACTCCCAAGGGTCTGTGAGATAGCTCAGCAGGTAAAGGTTCTTGCCTCCAAACCTGACAACCTGCGTTCAGTTTCCAGAATAGACTCCCACACATGGTCCTCTGACCTCCAAGTGTGTGCTGTAGCATGTGTGCAGCCACTCACATACATTATTTACACACGAAATAATGAATAAGAGACTATGTTCGGAGGGCACATAGATCCCATAGGGAACTTTCAAGAACGCCCTGCTATTCCCTTCAGCTGTCCCAGCACCTGGTTCATACCTCCACTCTAGGGGAACATGGTACCACACGTAAGTAGTTGCCCACGTGACTGGTTTCCCACCAGTGGAGTTACTCATGGACAGGACTGGTGTTTTCACATGGTCTCCCTGCAGCCACTGTGTTCATTACATGTCACTAGACAAATGAGAGACAATCGTGAAGGGTGTGTCTTTGCATCTCTCTCTCTTAACCATGGGGATGTGCTCATGTATTTTATGCAAAATATTTTTTCTGAGTATCTGAATATGGTGGTGGCACACACATGTAATCCCAACATTTGGGAGGTAGAGTCGGAAAGATTAGGAGTGATCTTGCTCGGTT